CTAGTCACTACATTATGATTTTATATTAGAATTTCTTTAAAAATTAAGCTTCATTCCAGAAAGGACTGAAGGAAACATCCCTGGAAACAACAACCATTTTATGTTATTTGTTAAACCTTGAGCTACAAAATACAAAACAAAAACAAGTTTATTTGTATAAGAAATTTCAAGTCTCTGGACATTATCATAGGAATAAGCCAAACCACCAAAATGAGATAGGGCAGGTCTGTACTCAGCTCAAGAAAGAATCCCAGGACCACCATGCAATAGTAAGGACAAAACAATGACCACAACAACAAGGAAGAATGTGGAAGGGGCCAGGAGAGTCGGAAGTGACTCCTACACATATGGGCACTCCACTGCCCGGCATTTTGATCACTCACTCGCCCCTTCTTCCTTTCTTCAGTGTTACATAGATGCCACAAACTGTGTTTCAAATGTTGGAGAGGTCTGTACAGGAGTGCTTCAAGGGAAAGATTACTGATAAAGGACAAGACTAAGTTCCTTTCTGTAGGCAGGGAGGAAGGAAGCGAGAAAGCAAGAAAGGGAGAAAGTATTCTAGGTAGAGAGTGTGGAGTTCCAAACAGTTGAAAGAGGTCAGTGTGAATGGGAGGGAGAACAGGCAGGAAAGGAGCATAGAACGGGGGGTGTGATGCTGAGGATGAGGCAGGAACATCTGTGCACCTCTTTCTTGGTAGCAGGAAGGAACCGAATATGAGAGAAAATGTGGATATATTACATGGTACAAGAAAGAAAGAAAGAAAGAAAGAAAGAAAGAAAGAAAGAAAGAAAGAAAGAAAGAAAGAAAGAGAAATACAACAGGTACAATACAGGGGACAGCAGTTTGGCCAAGACGGAAGTCGGATAAATGGCTCCAGTGGGAACCAGAGAACCTCTGTTGTGAGCCTGGGGGAATCTCTTTAAATATTTAGGAATATTTAGGTTTATTTATCTCTTTAGATATTTAGGAATATCTAAATCTAATAACTGCTTCTGCCAGGGTTTCATGAATACTGCTGTGGTGTCTGAGCTAACCTGAGGGAAAAAATAGCCCAAGTTCACAGTTTGTGTCTTCCAAGGCTGGTGAAGGGCCACTGCTGGAGGACTGGACTTGACCCTTCATCCCAATCAAGAAACCAAACCTGTAAATTCCTCAGAGATGATTAAACAACTTTCTTAACATCTAGCGCTGCCAGGTCTAACAGCCCAACCTAAAAATTCTTCTGAGCAAGCTAAGCAGAACTTTGACTACATACTTCCCCTGCCGCCCCCAAAAAGGGAATTCCTAGCCCTGGGAGGAGATAGTTTTCTTGCTATACAACCTGCATGAGAGGTGGTAAAAAGAAACTTCACTATCCTAGTGGAGCAAGGTGCCACTGATCTCCATTTAGCATGGCGAGCCAATAGCGCAGTGTGCAAACCTTGGGACCAGGTGTAGTAAACCTTGCGCAGATCAGTGAGGTATGCAGTTTCTGCAACTGAGTGTAACATCTCCTGACAATGAATAGAAGAGTTGCCAGAATGGACAGATGTTCTTGAATTCTGTGAGAACTAGTTTAATAGCCCTGATCAGGCTCCTTTGGGGAGCCAGCTGGAAGATGCTAGTTTTCGTGCTGCCTGCCTTGTGCTCAAGCATAAGCCCCTAATAAAACTTTCCTTGGCTGCATTTCAACTTCTACTGCACACTGAGCCAAAGAATCTGAGATCTCAAACTGTTTAAGTCCTTGAATCCGTAATGGACTTAGTAGATGAGAGGAAAATCTGAAAAATTGGTTTTCCCAAGTCCATACTGCCTGGGTAACAAAGTTCCACATTATTTGGGTTCCGTGGGACTTCATTCTTGCGTGAAGCCCGACTTGAGCATCAGAAAGCATCCTGGAGCGTGGCAGTGGCTGGGCAGTGGAGGTCAGCTTCCAGAGCTGGGACCCTTGGGGTGGGGGGGCTCTCACCTGCCCCACAGCCCGGCGTGGAGTCCTGTGGCATGGTTCTGGGAGCCTTCTTTTATACTCCCATCTGGGAGGAGCAACCGTGAGTTCTGGAGGGTGGCCAATGAGATTATCTGGTGCCAGCAGGGTGTGGCTTGTGGGTGTGATCCCTTAGTCAAAGGAGACTGGGGGAAGCAGTCGAGGATCTTTGTTACAGGTCCCTTTGAGTCCAGAGTCCAAGGTCATAAAGTTCTGCATTATCTGGGTTCTGTGGGACTTCATTCTTGCATGAAGCTCGGCTTGAGCCTCAGGAAAGTGGCCTGGAGCATGGCAGTGGCTGGGCAATGAAGGTCGGCTGCCGGGGCTGGGTCCCTTGGGGTACAGAGGGCTCTCGGCCAGAACAGAGATTCTCTGCCTGCTTCCCCCAGTCTCCTGTGACTCAGGGATCATACTCATAAGCCACACTCTGCCAGTACCAGATAATTTCCTCATCGGTCACCCTCCAGAACTCACGGATGCTCCTCCCAGATGGGAGTAAAAAAGGAGGCTCCCAGAACCATGCCACTGGACTCCACACCAGGCTGTGGGGCAGTGAGAGCCCTCCCTACTCCAAGGTACCTAGCCACAGGAACTGACCTCCACTGCCTAACCACAGCCATACTGCAGGCCGCTTTCCTTTCATTATTAGATACTTCCTACTCATTTATGCCCTGGGAGAGCCTGGAAAGCTACTAAGAGTATCCCACCCACATGGGCAGAGCCTGGCACGCTCCCCATGGCATATTCAATATGCCAAATACAGAATTATTGGAAAAAAATGACAATAGGTCTCATTCCCCTGAAAGACCCTCCAATTGTTGGGAAAATATGAGTAAGAAGAGGCTACTAAAATCTCTGGGCTGGGAGGAAAAGAGACATTACTGGCACCCGCCCGCTTGAGTAATTTGATAACCAATGGGATGACAGTGATACGGTGATACTGTGATACTGCCTGGGAATTGCCAGAGTCACTAGAAATATCCAGAGACTCTCCAGAGAGGCCCACAGCTTGGTGATCATCTCTAAAGCCCAGTTTAGTCTGTTCATCTCTGGCAGCTGCCACCCAAGCATTCCCTTTCTTACTGTTCCAATAGCCTCATATTAGAGCATAAAATCCTTGTATTTTGCCTTTGCCCAAAAAGATCTTATTCAGCTTTTGACTGCTTCTCATTTTGTGATGTCTACTTTTCTACTATCACTGAAAAGTTATTTAGTTAGTTAAGTAGTTAGTTTTTAGGCCACACCCAGCTGTACTTATGGCCTACTCCTAGTTGACATTCAGGAATCTGTCCTCGTGGGCTCAGGGAACCATAAGGGGTGCCAGGGACCAAGCCCAAGTAAGCTAGCAGCATGCAAGGCATGGTCCCACTCACCACACTATCTCCAGCCCCTGCCATCTAAAAGTTTTAAGAATTAGTCTATGCAGTGCTATTCACACAATGTTCTCTTTAAGATCATCTAATTCATTCTCAAAAACATTAAATATCTTAAGACCTAAGATTAGAACAATTCTATGTGCATCAAGTCACCTGGAATCATTTTGTTTCCTGTCCATTCATTAAGAAATGTGTGAATAATGAATCTTTGATTATATTTATTTGAATTATTAATAAAAATTAATAATTCAAATAAATATAATCAAAGATTATAAATATAAATACGTTTGTTTTTCTTTTTACATTATTGTTAACTATATAAATCCTTCTTTAATGACACAAATTTTATTGTTTCCTACAAAGCAGTTCATTGATGAAAAACCAAATAAAATGCTTTAACATTTTATTCTCTTATCAGTAAGATTTAACAAAAGTAAAAATACAAAATGCAAATCCATTATCAAAATCTCTACACAGCGTTGTTAAATAAAGAGCAAAATATAAGGACCTGTAAAGGTGTATGTACATGTACATTAAATACAGCTTACCCATTTTCATTTTTATGTCTACTGAATCATTTCTAGAGAAAAAAAAAAGGAGGAACTCTCCTAAAGATGGAACCATCCCACTTCAACTATGGCATTTCAACATTAATGACATCCCAAAGATACTTGGTTCCACTTTGTCTTTTAAGTTTAGTCTTGTCAGATATAATAAAATATCATATATCCAAGAAACTGAAAATTACTGGTTATTAGAACACAACTAATATAATATTCCAGATATTTGCTCCTGACTAATAACAACCATATCATCCATTGGGAATACTAATTTCAAAAGTTCTAGGAAGTAGACACTCCCTAAGATATTACAAGTTAGAAAAATCATACTTCAATTTCCTAGACCATTTTTATTTAAATAGTTATTTGTGGCATCATAGAAATGATCGGCTAAATAAATATTAAGACAAATTTATTATAAACTCAGTATTAAGAAGGCTTAGTATTGTCATGTGTTTCTGTTTTGAGGGCATACCTGGCAGTGCTCAGGGATTACTTCTGACTCCACACTCAGGAATCACTCCTGGTGGGGCTCGAGGACCATATGGGGTATAGGGATTGGACCCAGGTTGGCCATGTGCAAAGCAATTATCCTGCACATTGTAGCCTCATCATGATTTTCAAAAAGAGGGGGGAAAATGTTCTTATCAGTAACTTTATTTTCAATTTTGAGTTTTTCCAATTAAATTCTTCTGGATATGGGCAAGAGAGGTTAGGACCCCACCAGGCAGTGCTCTAGGTTGACTCGTGGCTCTGTGCTCAGGGATCAATTCTGGTGGCACTCAGGGAATCATACATGGGGCCATGGATTTGAACCAGGGCTGATACAGGGTTGCCCTCAAAGCAAGTGCTTCAATCCCTATTCTTTCTCCCTGTCTTCTAACTACATTCTTTAAGTCATTTGACATTTTGGGAAGAGATTATTCTAAAGGTGTTGGTATTACAATAATATTGCCATCTTTACAAAACTTGAAAGCAGCTAAGTAATTACACTACTTTGGAAAAAAATGAAATTGCACATTTCAAACACAGTTAGAACACCAAGTTGGATGAAACAAAGTTCATTTCTTAAGGAACTCATGATTAATAGATTAGTTTACCTGAAAGTATGAGAAAAGTATCAGGAAGGTACTACATCATTCTTCCATTGGGTAAAAATCATCACTGCTTCTCTCCTTGAAATGTAAAGGAATCTAAAACAAAATTAAAATTAAGTTAAAATTTTTCATGTCTAACATTTACGTGCCATTACAAATGGTAAAAAGAAGTTTAGTTATTTAGAACTTAAAATAAAACGCAAAATATTGTGCTCCTCTCCCCAAATAGGGACAGTCTTTGCGACCCTTCCCTATTTTAACTGACAAATGCGAAGTATTTGCATAAACAATTAATAGGTTTGACCTACATGGTGAAGACCATTTCCCTTAAGGTAGAGTAAAAGTACTCTCTAAAAAGTATTGTTAAAGTAAAGCAGAACCACAGTCACTAGAAAAAGAATCGCCTCCAAACAACCCTGGCAGGAAAAGAAAGTGCCCTAGGCTGGGTGCTCCAGCAGCCCCAGGGAACGGGAAGTGGCCTCCTGAGTACTTGGCAGTTATTTTAGTGGCTGATTGGAAGAAAACATCAAAAGATGCTAAATTCTCTGGGAAGTTTCTCCCAAGGAAGGAAAGGGCTCAAGTGTTGCTGCAAAGGACATAGGGGTTGAGCAGAGCGAGCTGCCATGGAGGGGGAGTGCCAGGTGGGCACCAGATGGGCGCATACTGCCTGCCGTAAGACCCCAGCCCCATCCAGCACCCACCTCAGCTTTGTCATTGGGGTGGGGGGTTGAGTGGGGGGGTTCTCTCACCCATTCAGAACTTAAAGGCTCCCATTGAAGGACAGAGCTTGACTAGAGAGGGTTCAAGCAGATGAAGAAAGGAGTTGAGTAAAACACTCTGGAAGCAAAGGCAAGAAAAAAATTCTGGAAAGGAATATTCTAGAAAACACTCCACAGTAATGAGTGTTAGTAATGCTAGTTTTCAGTCAACAAAGACAGAGTCGGTTTCTGGGAATCTCCTCATGTCTTCATGATTCAAGTAATAGCAAATGCTTTATTCTTCCATTTTGGTAGGGCAAAAATGGTCCCACAGGGCCCTTGATGGGCTGCACTTGCTCAGGTCAGGACCAATGCTCCGAGGGGGCAGCCCCTGACACCTAGGGGTCTGTTGGGATCCTGTTTCTTCCTCATTTGTTTGTCCAGCTCTGAGACACTGGCACCAATGAACTTGGCAAGTATGAGGGACAGTGCTCCGGCAAGCAGAGTCCAGTGGGGGACAGTGCTCCGGCAGGCAGAGCCCAATGGAGGACAGTGCTCTAGCAAACAGAGCCTAGTGAGGGTCAGTAGTCTGGCAGGCAGAGCCTGTGGGGGACAGTGCTCTGGCAGGCAGAGCCCAGTGGAGGGCGTCCATCCTTATGGTGGCTGTTAGGAGTAAGCCCTGAGGCACTATAATATATAAGGTAAAGGTAAAGGTAAAGGCCCTCCCGTTGATCGTCGATTTGCTCGAGCGGGCCCAGTAACGTCTCCATTGGAGACTTTGTTGTTACTGTGTCTGGCATATCGAATACTCTCGGTAGCTTGCCGGGCTCTCCGAGAGGGGCGGAGGAATCGAACTCAGGTCGGCCATGTTGGCCGCGTGTAAGGCGAACGCCCTACCCGCTGTGCTATCGCTCCAGCCCCTGGCGACCACGAAGGGACATAATATATATATGTATATATATATATATGCAATATATATGACCATAAAGTTGAAACCAACTAACCTAAAAGAACATTGGTGACAGAGCCTTTCTACTATTAGAAAAAATGCTGCCTGATTCATAGTTCATTTAATAAACAGAATTAGATCTCTTTTATAAAGAGAACAAAAAAGAACCTTCGCATTCAACTTTTCTTTCTCTCAGAAATCATAGTCCACAGAGGTTTCACCCACATCCACATTCTCCATGCTGAGTTCTTACCTCTCAGAGAAATTTTAATAGAGTCAGGCAAGTGATTGAACAGACAAATTTTTCATCTCCCATTCATTCTACAGAAGTGTACTGAGTGCTTCCAAAGTGTTGCATTCTAGTATGAAACTACATTCACATGTGCCTCAGGGTGCACAGGTGAACAATCTCTTCCCTACCAACTATAACACCAGAGGCTATGGGATGTGAGGGGCATAGGCAGGTACTTTAGAAGAAGGAAAGAATATAATCAGGTAAGATCATCAGACTTACATCCAAGTCCTGAAAGACAGAGGGAAGCAAGGAAGCCAAATTGACATAGAATCTTCTGGGCAAGGGGGTCTTGAGGTAGCATGACAAAGCTTAGGACCTGCAAGGAGGTGCATAGCTGGGATTTCAGAAGCTTATGGAAAGTGAGAGCAACCTCCATTACAGGCAATAATAGAGGCATTCAAGAATTTAATAGGGAAACCGTTCTAAAACGTCCATTTTAGGAGCTATAATATGGCTAGTCTTGCAAGGTGAAGAGCAAAGGTGTAGGAATTTCCGGACAACTCCAGTTGTCACTGAGAACTGGATCCTAGACCAGAAAGACTATGAGAGATGAGGAATTAATAGAAGCTGGTGCTCATTTTTTACTTGTTTCTCATTTTTTGTGTCACACCCTACACTACTCAGGACTTAGTCCTGGCTGTGCTCAGGGGTCACCCTAGGAAGTGTTCAGAGGACCATGTGTGATGACAGTAATTTAATCATGGCCCCTTTGCTACTTATTTATATGTACTTAAAAATGGAGAAAGATCTATTCCAAGATTTTTATTTTCATTTTTTCAACATCACAATAATTTATATATGTGTGCCATAATAACAAAATGGCCTTGTCCTCTGATTTTAGATTTCAATAAACACCAAACAAATTATGACCACAGAACAGAAGCAGAGACAAGTGAGACAGAGGAAAAACCTCACATGACTGCTGTCAAGTTGAAACTTAATAGAATGATTTATTTTTTATTGGGGGGGGTCTCCCAAGAAACTCTCAAAGGACCACATTGCCACTCCTGGAGATACTTGGCCACCAGCTCTGTACACCTGAATTTCAGGGCTCATCTGGGCCTGTTGGGTACATCAGGGCCTCCACTGGAAGTGCTTAGCGATGTAGTGCCAGGGATTCAACTCTAGGCCACTGAGTTGAAAAATGGGCCACTATCCAAAATCATTTACTCTAGCCCTATGCTTGCTCCAGGTTTCAAGATTTACTTTTTAAAATCTCAGTTTTCTCATTTACAAAATGAGGATTACAGAAACTACCTGAAGAGGTTACAAAGAGATTGACATAGAGATTAAATGAAAACTATAGCATTTAATCCAAAATAAGCTCTTATTTGAATAATCAATATCTTATTATACAGAATATTTCCAAGGACTGGAAAAGAATACATTTTGGGGTTTTTTTTTGCTTTTTGGGTCACACCCAGTGATACTCAGGGGTTACTCCTGGCTCTGTACTCAGGAATTACCCCTGGAAGTGCTTGGGGGACCATATGGGATGCCAGGAATCGAACCCGGGTCAGCCGCATGCAAGGCAAACGCCCCACCCGCTGTGCTATTGCTCCAGCCCGAAAGAATAAATTTTTAACTGAAAATATTGGCTAATTGTTCAGATATCCTAAGTTTGGAGTGTTGGGCAATTAAAAGGGCATCCACTGATGGGTATCAGGGTGTTGATCATTTGACTTTCGCCACTATCAAATACAATTTCTCAGTTCCAAGAAGGGTCTCAAAAAAAGGAAAGGTTCCAACATGGGGAACAGTTTCAGTCCCCAGCAACATGTGTCATCCAAACATTCCCAAGCATAGAGCTATGGATAGCCCCAAAACAAATAAAGAATGTGTAAAATAATACAGCATTCATTTATTTATCCATGGCAAGAGTGATTTCTTTGTTGAGTCAAATAATTGTTTTTATTATTAAAAGAGTATTCCTACCTTTTTAACTATTCAAGATGTAATACTACGAAGTATTAAGTTGAATCTGCATTATTTTTCATCACATTATTAAGCATGGAAAATAAAACATAGAAAATCCCTTATCTGTAGTCAACACCCATGAGTAGTCCAAAGTTCACTGCTGACAACAGCATGACCACTCCACAACATTGACTGTCACATAGTGAAAAGATACATCCCCCTCCTCACAGATAGGTTGACAAGTTCTTCCAAATCATCACAGAGGAGCTACTTTCCATCCTTCTCAAGCTCCTTCTGGAAGTGGAAGAAACAAGAATCCTCACAAATATTTCTATGAAACTGACGTCCTCTTGATACCAAAAATTGACAGGAATATTGTCAAAAAAGAAAATTTCAGATCATTATTCATGATGAACATAGATGCCAAAATCCTCAACAAAATTCTGGTTAAATTGAATACAATTATACAATTAGCACATTATATACCATGATCAAGTGGGATTTATTTCAGGGATGCAAGGATAGTACAAAATTTGTAAATCAATTAACATATGATATAGTACATTAATTTAAAAAACAAAAAATTATATGATCCTCTCTACAGTATTCAGTATTCAATAAGATGCAGCACCTATTCAAGATGAAAACCCTCAACAAATGGGAACTAAAGACAGTTATCTCAATATCCTAGAAGTCATAAAAAAGGAAACTCACAGCTAATATCCTTACTGATGGAAAAACGAAACTCAAGTTTGCCCATTTTCACCACTATTATTCAATAGAGTACTTTAATTCCTGGTCACTGAAATAAGACAAGAAATAGAAATTAGAGGAAGCCAATTAGATAAAGAAGTTGAGCTATCACTAATAATAGCATGGTATCATACGTAGAAAACCCTAAACACAGCATCAAAAATATTTCTAGAAATTTTAAATCTATATAGTTAAGTAGCAGGATACAAAATCAATGCACAGAAATCTACTGCATTTTTGTATGCAAACAATGATGCAGAAAAGTTAAGTCATCTGGAAAAGGGCACCATTAGTAAATACACAGGCCGGACTCAGATTTTGAAATTGTAGCTTTATAGGCTTCCATTTAGCCAATAAGCAGGTTATTTAAGGGGGACAAAATGCAGGACCAAAAATTAGTCATAGTGGGAGTGAATAAAACAGAGGGAGAAAAAAACACAAGAAAGGAAGTACAATGAATAGGCATATAATAGACACAGGGTAC